TTTTTTTTTTTTTGTGTAGAATGCATTTTGAAATAGTAAATTAATAAAAAATAAGAAATTTTTTTGAATTTGTGTGTAACATTATTTTATTGAAAAATGTGTGATTGAAAAAAAAAATACTTTTTTTAAAAAAAGGGATCAAATAAGTGCTAAATATACATAAGAAATGTACATATAGCATTGCAGGTGCACATGTAGTAAGCATTCATTGAGTCTTGGACAAAAAATAATTTTGTGGCAACCAATACAGTGCTACCACTTGTGTATCTTTAATACTTCGTATACATTAATTTTGTACAAAGAGCGTAATTGAAAATTCTTTTCCTTTCTTTTTCAGCTTGGAATTATTCGATTTGACTTGTACAAAATAGTATATGGAGTCAACGCCAACTCAATAATTGGTTTTGGCCCAAGATTTATCCAAGCCTTGATAAGTGGAAATTACATGACAACGGGTGTTTAGGGAAGGCAAAAACCCCCCATTAAACTCGATACCCGCCCCAAACGGGGCAGGAATTACCCGCTTAATCAGGTATTTGTGGCAGGGAACTTCAACCCGGGGCGGGGTCGGGTAATGAGGTTTTAGCCCCATTTAATTTAGTTTTAGTTTTTACAAATTACTCTTGCAATTTATTATATGTGATGGGTCGGCCCATTACCTGACCCAAATGATGAAATGAACAAACCAATTCTCTGATTTCTAGACCCAGAATCCCAATTTCCTCATTTCATTCCATTTGACGTGAGGACAGTGAGGCGGCGAGGGTTTTCACTTTTCATTGGAGTTTGGAGAAGTTGAAGCAGCTTTAGGTCTCTTCCGGCTGCTGTCGATCTCTTTTATCCATTCCTCTGTAATATTTTCTACTATTCTGCTTATGCATAAGATTGTATGTACCTGTAATTAGTTTTTTGGGTTTGGGTAATGAACTCGTAATCTGATGAAGTGATATGAAAATCACATTTGCATATTGTAAAACTTTAAGGTCTGCACATCTGGTCACTAGGAAGAATTGATGCACTCTTGTTTCAATGTTTCTCTCATCATCAAGATTTATTTCTTATCCATTGCTTTTATGTTTTTTGATGGTGATGTGGTTTTTAATTTCGAAGTATTGATGCATTTACAGGCAAGTCATTTTGAAAACTGGAAAATGGGGAAATGGCCAATTGTTTCTGAATTATGATTTCCAGAATTTGCAATTCCTTTTGATTTATGTTTCTGGTGTAGTGGAAAGATAAAAGTACTGGAGAAATGGTAGGACAGCATACAGAATTTTGAATCTTTGATGACTTTGGAGTTTTGCCATTTTACAAATTTGGGAAAGACAGGAGGAATGGCCAATTTTTATATGGTAGAATATTAATTTTTGTGTTAAGATGACCTGGGGACAAACATAGATATTTAGAGAAATTGCATCCTTTTCTTTCTGAATTGTGATGTACAGGGGTCGTGGTATGTTATTCATTTTTGAGCTTTGAAAGAATTAAAGTAAAATTGGGATGACTTTTCTTCATCTAATGCTTCATTTATGTGTTTTAGTATCCTTTTTCTTCTATGTGAACTTTGTACATACCCATCTTTTATATATACATATCTCTGCTTATAATGATGTCAATATACTCAGCTAACATGGGTTGGTTCAGTGTAGACACGTTCACAGAGAACAGTATCAAGGATGTCATGACGATTTGAGGTTTGGTTTTTCAAAAATGACCTTGGTTCCTTCATTAATTTAGACTGAGATGTTAATCAGATTGCGAGATATACTTTGGAGAATCCAATCTAGTTAATCTGTTGTGCCCATGTTCAACAAGATAGTACCATTGGTAAAGCATAAAGAAGATAGAGAATTATTTTTTGTATTCTTTTTCTTGTTTAATCTATTGTGCTCTCTATTTCAAATTGATCTATGTACTTTGGCTTAATTTATATTAATTGACTAATAGGGATTTGTTTATCAAGTAAAAGAAATATAAATTTCGGGTGTCACATACACACAGACTAGAGTTTTTTAACTTTTTTTTTTTTGAAACGTTGATCATTCATTGATATTGAAAACTTGCATTCTAATTTAGTTTGATTTATTCTGTTTCTCATTTTCAGTCTTGTTTAAAACTCTATCACAACTAATGCAACCAATCATCATCGTTGCCTAGATATATAAGAGGGTTTAAAGCTGTTGACGTTGAAAAATGCATAGACAATATTCAAGCCAACTTAGGGAATAAACACGAAATTGATTGATCTTTTATCAACGGATTACAAGATTATTACACAATCACGCTCTTTCTTTTCCATTATAGGAGATATTTGAAATATGAAGAGAATGAAAGTCTTTTTTTTTGTCCGCCTCCCCTTCTCCTTTTATAGTGGGGTAATGCATGCATAGTGTACCTCCTGTCATGTCAATATGCAATACCGAACTAAATAAGTACACATGTTGGCGTAATATGATTGGTTGCCTAGTTCGACTCCGTCAATTGATCATGAGTTACTGGTGCAGGTGGTCCCCAACAATTAATGCATTACTTAGGAA